ACAGTGACAAAGAAAAAAACAAAAACAAACAAACAAGCAAACAAAAACAGCCAGTAAATATTTTAACAATAATCAACAACCTAATGAAAATCTTAATGGCCTCCAAATGGACTACAATCATTTTATCACTTGAGTTAGGTGCACCTGTCTTGAGTCAAATAAAATAAAATAAAATAGCCAATCACAACAAAGCTAAACCATTGCTTTATAAATCATTTAAATTGCAATTTTTATCTTTTGTTCACAAATGTCTTTAAAATAAACCCACAACACATTCCTATATCAGAAGAGTTCATAAATAGTGATTAACTAAAACCCAAAAGTTTTACATCTGATGATCACTAAGAGAGTCTCTACTCCTTACCTAGGATGGATGATGGGTCCTTAGTCTAAGTGAAGGCCATCTTGGACACTGCTGTGTCTAGAAATCTGAGTCACACACTAATTATTTAGAACTAGCTGGAGAAAAAAACGTCAGACTGACAGGCTGGCATTTTGTGACAGGCTGGCATTTGAGAGAACTATGGTTTGGCAGAATCTGTTAAGATGATGGTTTATAATGATAAGGAAACATATAATGTGGACAGCATGAATGGTGATTTCTCTTTGGTCTCTGCTATTTGTGGGTCAGATTTGTTTTCATGGCTGTAGGTCTGTCTGATACACACACACACACACACTTTATATATGTTTGGCTACATATATCAATATGCATATATAACATATTCATATAGGACATGAATATGCTATGTTTTGTATTCATAAGTCTTGTATAAAGTTGTACTAAATTGAAAAGAAGAAAGGAGCCAGGCAGTGGTGGCGCACGCCTTTATTTCCAACACTCGGGAGGCAGAGGCAGATGGGTCTCTGTGAGTTCGAGGCCAGCCTGGTCTATAAAGCTACACAGAGAAACCCTGTCTCGAAAAAAAATCAGAAGAAAAGAAAAAAGAAGGAGAAGGAAGAGGAGGAGGAGGAGGAGGAGGAGGTGGAGGAGGAGGAGGAGAAGAAGAAGAAGAAGAAGAAGAAGAAGAAGAAGAAGAAGAAGAAGAAGAAGAAGAAGAAGAAGAAGAACCAGAGGTTAACAGAAAAATCTAGCCAAAGAACAGAATAGTAAGATTCTGGAAGCCAAAATACCTGCATAAAGCAAGAATGAATGAACAAGCATAAAGCAAGAAGGAATGAACAAAACCCAGCAGTTTTCCTTGGTGCTTTTAAGGCTGACCTATAAATGTCATCATCTTACAGAGTTGAGAAGTACACCAACTCCTATTTGTGAAAAATAACATTTTATGATAAATTTATAATTTCCAAGAGAAAGAACCCAAGTTTAAAAACAATAGACAAGCTGCAGTAGATGAACCCAAGGGTAACCCTGTTTTTGACAGAAACAAGGCAACCAACTGAAATTTGAAACCAGAGACAGAACTAATATGACATACAGGAAGACTCAAAAAGAACACATTAATATACAATATACAATGAATGAAGTGAGCAAGAATACCCACCAACACTTAGTATTAAATTGCCATAATAGAAGAATGTGGTCTTTGTTACGATTGGTGTTACAACTTAGAAAAATAGAGATATTAAGTTTCTACTTGGCTAGAAGATGAAATGCACCCAGCAGCAGGAATGAAGCCCCTGGAAAAGCATTCAACACATTGCTCTGGGTTCCTTTCCTTGATGCACTTTCCTGACTAAACAGTGTTCCATATATGCCATGGACAGACCAGCAGCAGATTGGTTAAAAACAGCTTGCATTTTCAACTTCCCGGAATAGAGGCCACATTTTTTTTTAGAAATGATCATATTAAAATAAGTCTGTCTTTACTGCTACATGATAAATTTTTAGAAATTATCAGATTAAAGTAAGTCTGTCTTTACTGTTACATGATAAATTTTAAGCTGGACAGGCACCGATGCCCTGACTCTACTCTTTTTCATAAACCATATGACGTTCACACACTGAGAGTGTTTTACACTTTAGCCTGCAGTAAAGGCTTTACATCATTTTAATGCTCCAGCTCAAAAAGAATCACCCGATGAATGCAAGGAATATTTCGTGTACATTAAGCTATTTTTACCAGACGACTCGCCAGAAAAAGTTTAACAAATGTTTTTCCCATAAGTAACCTTACATATCCATTGATGAAAATAAACAAAAAGAAGATTTGAGGAAAGGGCAGATGAAAAAAACTCATTTTTCTAGATTGGAGCATTTCAGTTTGACTTGTCTAAAATGATTACTAAACAGTTAAAATGCCACGACTATTAGAATACAAGTAAGCAAGTATTATATTGTTACATGGAATTTTCAAGTTTTTGAAAATTAATGTTTCAGGTTAAGATAAGGCTTAAAACAAGTAATTCTGAAAATCCCCGTCTTCAACGAACCAAAGGCTCAGCTTGGCATAAGCACATTCAATATATGAAATTCTATTCAGGTCAATTTAAATAGATAATGCTCAACTTCATGCTAACACTCCCCTTATCTGTGTGAAGGATCAACAGCAACAATTTCAAAACAAAGGCTAAACCTACCATAAAATCCCAGTGTATCTATGTTACTTTCAGATGCTATGGCATCTAAAAGCCTCTTCCTGATAGGTAAAACATTCAAGAACTGATACATTCTGACCAAATATATAAATACGTTAAATTCTCAAGTCAAATAGAAATGATACCAACTATTCTTTCCGCTATTTAAATATCTGTGATACAACAAAATTAACACAGTTACTGAAGAAGTTGTATTTTGGACTGAGGGAGTACAGAATGTATGATCTTAAATTCTCCTGGTGTAAGGTTATTAAATATTCAAGACTGTGAGAAACAAGAGATGTTTCATTCCAACTCTAATTGAAAACTGAAAAATCAGATTTCCTAAACTTGACTTACAAGCATAATTCAACCAGATCTAGCAACTTAGTTGTGCAATTTTAATAAGTTTAATGCAAAGCAATAGAAATCTTATTTGATAATTACTTGTGGCACAAATGCAAAATAACAACAAATTCGGGTCCTTTTCACTTACTGATGCATTTTATAGTGAAACCACAAAATGCACAACCCATTTTGGCACAAACTAAGGGAAAAAAAAGCACAGGAGGTATTATGTCCATCAGGAAGAGAAATGTTCTGTGCCAAGGAAGGAAGGAAGGAAGGAGGGGGAGGAGGAAGGAAGGGAAGAAAAGATAGGAAAGGAGTAGGCGAATGTTTCCATTATCTGTAGGTCCCCAGAAAAAAAGGAGCACGTGACTGTACCCTATACAACACACAAGGTCTTTTTTTAAAAAACGCATCAGACAAAATAGCAATCACTTTTGTCATTCAACTTTACATGGCATGTATCGTTACTGCTAGGTGAAATTCTTTGCTTCCTCACTCTTCCAGACCAGTTTTCAAGCAAATGTGAGACAGAGCAGGGTGGGGTAGAAGGAAAATACATGCAGCGCCTTCCAGCGCACCACCAGCTCTTTCCCCGAAAATAATTTCCAACAGTCCTTTTCAACTACGAAAATAAGTCGCCTATCTGTCTCAGGGCACACAGCAGACATTCTGTCTCATTAGACACCGATGCATAAGCCATTTAGCACTCCAGACTCCCAACCCCGCGTCCCCGAATTTTAAATGACTGGCAAGCCACTGAGCATGAAGATGACAAAATACCTTTACTTACTGTTTCGGGGTGAAGGTGGGCAGAGGACTCCTTTCAAAGTAGCCCCAATAGTGTAACCAAAACACGGTTCCGGAATAAAATATTAAGAGACACTTTTCCTTCCCCACCTTTAGCTGCGGACTTGAGGAGGCAAAATGCATCTCCACATCACATCATTTGTACAGTCCTGCTGTCGGGAGTTTAGGGTGGAGATTGGCCCAGAGAAGGGCACGGAGTGTGAGCTAGCCACTAGACACGAACGAGTTGCCGAACCCCCCCAAAACCCTCCACAAGGTCCACAGAGCAAAAGTCCAGCCCGGGACTCACGCATGCTCCCCAAGTCCAGGCCGCTTATCTTCGACTCCAGCTATCTAACTTACCATCTACAGACATTCCTTCAAGACGAGCCCAGCACCCAAGTACACGTCACAGTTTAAAACAGCGAGACACTCCCCAAACAAACCAGCACACCTCGAAACCACCTCACAGTTTCTCAAACTCGCAAGCAGGAAGACCCCACCTCCAGAATTCAAACCTTCCGCCGGTCCTGGAGACCAGGGAGAAGTTAGGGAGCCGCCGTCGCCTCTCTACGCCCGCCCCTCACAAACTGCCCCACCCCACAGCCCGCGCACCGCTGCCCCCTCGGGAGCCCCCTTCTCCCCCACTTGCCCTCCCCCCACGTAGCCACTCCAGAGACCCATCTGTGGCGCCTACTCACTTTCTCTCCCCCCAAACCCCTCCAGGACATTTTTTCCCCTTAAAGTAATGAAAGAAGTGAGGAAAGAGACTTAAGGCAGTCCGGGTCGCCAACGATCCCACTCACCTCGGAACCCCAGCTGAGTTCTCTGCACCCGGGCTCAGCCCCCTCCCCAGCGTCCCAGAGCAAGGCTGAGGGAGGGAGGGAGGAGGAAAACGGGAGGGGGAGGGGATTTTCACCGCGGGGCGCCCTGCGGGAGGGGCTGAGGAGGGCTCCAGGCCCGGGCAGGAAGAGCAGAGGGGGGAGGGTAGCCCCCTATCTCTCAGTCTCCCCCTGAAAACCTCGCTTGTCTCAATCACATCAGACTGACTGTCTTTGTCTGGCTGACAACCGCCATATTGATAGCAACAGCCCCGCTCCCACCTGCTGCCGCCGGGCATCCCTGGGAGTTGTAGTTTCCGGTTCCCTAGAGGAAAAGCGCAGAGCCTGGGGTCTGAGGCCCCAGGGAACTACAGCTTCCAGCAGGCATTGCGCCCATACGCCTTCCCACAGGGAAGAGGGGGAGCCGGGAACTGGAGCCTTGTGGACTACATATCCCAGAATAACATGGATTCCAGCTCGGAATGGGGGTCATGATTTCATTCTGGAATGGAAAGGAAGGATGAATTGGCGGCGGCGACGAATTTAAGCGGACAGAAGGAGGCGTTTAGAGAGAAAGGGGAGGAAAAGGAAAGGCGCTCACAGGTCCCATAATGCCTGCAGTAAAACTACATTTCCCGTGATGCTCCGGAAAATGCGTGAGAAGGGAAAACTCCAAGTCCCGCGATGCTCTCGGCGGCGGAGATTGAACCGGAAAACGCTTCCTTGCTTTGAGAAGTGAAGAGACTGGTGCTGAACAACCAAAACTCCGATATGAAACTGGTGAGTTTCCGCTCCTAAGTCAGAGGGCAAAGGTAATGCTGTGTCCCTTTGGACTCTGTGGCCTCCACCATGACTTGTCGCAGAGATAAGTCAGCAGATAGAAAACTAAAGTGAGGTGAACTGTGGCAAGCTGGATTTTGCAGTTGAGATTTGAATTCCCTCTCGCATACACCCCACACTTGTCAGGCTGTGTGGTAGGTCCCTTTGGCCAAACGTGAAGTTGAATATTGCATTTCTTCATCCTCGAGCAAAGGATGAACTCAAAAACTTTGATTTGGTCGTGTTTCTCAGCGCCCACCTGAGAGTTGTAATAAGTCATCCGCTTCTTTCCACTAGATGGGCTCTTAAGTGGATTCCCACTCAGGCATTACTCATTAAATGTCCTGCTACTCCTAACTGCTTTTCGAATTATGAGAAAGCGGTGCTAGAGGGTGCCCGTGAAGGGTTTAGCCAGAGCAGTGTTGAAGCATTCCAGTTTAGGACCTGCGTGAAATAAGCAGCTCTAGTTGGAACACGCTTTCTGGAGAAGTCACTGTGAGGCAAAGCTCAAACCCTGGAGTTAGGCAGACTTCTCAGATCTTTGCTTTGAGCCATTTTACTAAGCATGCCATTCTAACAGTTTGTCTTATTCAAGTGTAATGGCATAAGTATTAGAGTAATAAGGAAATTGAAAGCAGGTGTGAAATGCTTGCTCTCAACCTCTTAGACCCCATATTGTCACTGCCAACTTATTGTAGAACTTCATAATTGCTACATGGAGGTAGATGTCCTCAATGAAGAGTGAGGCATATTTGGTCGGTTCTGTTTGAGAAGGAAGTGGTGTGCAGATGCTTATTCCAGAACAACTTTTATGAGTGTATCAGAGTTTATGGTTTTTGTTTTGTTTGTTTTTTGCTTTACTCATAAAATCCTCTTGCTTGATTTACATGCAAGGTTAAAATGGGAAAGGAACAAACGAAAAATTAGCCTTTTACTTTCAGAATCAAAAGCTGACATCAGGGAAAGGAAGCAGTCTAATTAACACTCCCTCTCTCTTCAATTTCAAACCAAGTGTAGATTCCATAATTAATTCAATAGTTGAAAAATAAGTGATCTGTAATGCACGATTACTGTCCATACATCAAAGTGGTTTCAAAAATAGTTTCTCAATAGGTTAAGTTTGTGTGCTGTGCCCACCAAAGGGTTTTAATAAATTTCTCATGCCCTTAAGTTTTACCACTGTGCACTGCTTTAGGAATGTGGAGTTAGGGGCAGCAGGTTTGGCTAGAATGCATGATGCATTCTTTGGGTTTGGTCTTCAGCATGGGGATAATGAGTTACATCATGAAACATGCATATGTTATTCAACACGTTCATGTTTTTGAGATGAGACTTCCCGAAGTGCTTTTCCCCCACATGGCTCATGGGGATAGCCACATCTCTCATCGATTCTTTCCCCCTTACTATGATGCTGTTCCCTTAATGGAAATTTCTTGAATAGGTCTGTTTTTCTATCTCCTTACTAATACTGCTTTTGAGGTGGTTTGTTTCACTTGGCCACTGAAATTCAGTAAGACCTTCTGTCCTGATTAGTTTGTGTTTTTGTATTTCAATCTGGGAAGATGGCCCTCAATTGAGGAAATGCCTCTATTAAGACTGTAGAGCATTTTCCTGATGGATGAATGATATGAATGGACACAACCCACAGTTGTGGTGTTGTCCCTGTGCAGATGTTCCTGAAGCTGATAAGAAAGCAAGCTCAGCAAGGCATGGAGAGCAAGTAGTAAGTTGTTACTCTGTAGCCTCTGTTTTAGTTCCTGCCTGCAGGGTCCTGTTTGAGTTCCTTCCCTAACTTCCCTGATGATGGACTGTGATCAGAATATATAAGCCAATTAAACCCTTTTCTTCCTTCCTTTTGGCAAGGTGTATGTTTTTGTTGTGTTTTATTTGTTTTTTTCCTTTTTTATTTTGTTTTTTATTTGTTTGCTTGTTTCAAGACAGAATTTCTCTGTATAGCCCTAGCTGTCCTAGACCTAGCTCTGTAGATCAGACTGGCCTTAAACTCACAGAAATCCTCCTGTCTCTGCCTCCCGAGTGCTAGGATTAAAGGTGTATGCCACTACATTTAGCAAACTAGAGCACCTTCTAAACTGCCTCCCTGCATTTAGTCTTGACCTCTCAGAAGAGTTTATTCTCTTCTGAGGAATTTCAACATTGTTTTTCAATTGCAGAATCCCGTAAGAATCACCTTAGTAGTTTCTTTTGCCTTACAGACAAACTCACTATCTTTAACTTGGTTAACTTGACCCTGAAGAATATGGTCCTGCTTATATCTCTACATGTAGTCTAAGGAGCCTTCGCCATTAATGTTTTTATTCAGATCTTGTAGGTCATTTTCTAGTTCTTTGAGTCTACTGTTTTCTTTGTCTCTGGGAATTTAAATATGTTACTTTGCCTACCATTTTGTCTTTTCTTATTTAATGTCTTCACATTTCAGGACACTATTTAAATAACATTTTCTTATATCAGACCACCCTGGTACGTGTTTTCATGGCACACCTCCTGCTTGTTGAACTTACAGTTATTTCTTTGTGTTTGCCCCCCCCCCCCCCCCGCAATGTAGATGTTGTACTCCCAGAGACTTAAGACATAGTTTGACTTCACTGCTACATGAATAATTTCCCAAAGACTGCCAAGGTCTGTGCAAATGCGGGGAGAGAGATAAAGGGTGAATTTGAGATTATAATAAACAGTAACCTGAGTAAAAATAATAATTCTACTGTTTAAAAAGTGTATTTTTATTTTGTGTGGGGGGGGTGGATGTTTTGCTTGTTAAGTCTGCACACCAGGTGCACGCAGTCTTCATAGAGGCCAGAAGAGGCCACTGGGTCCCCTGTAGCTGGAGCTACAGATGGTTGTGAATCAAACGATGGGTTCTGGGAGCTCAACCCAGGTCTTCTGCAAGAATAAGAAGTGCTCTTAACCCCTGAGCCACCTCTCCAGCCCTGATGGCTGCCTTTTACAGAGCAGGCACTGTGTGACAGGCAGTGCACTGAGTGTTGGCACAATACATATTTTGATCTAGGTGATAGAATTCCATTTTACAAATTAAAAATGTGAGTTTCTGGGAAGCGAAGGAAGAGACTCCAAGTTAAACAAATTAAAAGTCAAAGAGCGGGGTCTGAATCCATGTCTCCCTGGCTTAAGAGTCCACTGCTCAGTGGGGGCAGAGTCAGAAGCATCACAGTGCTACATCAACTCTTAGAGGAGTGCAAACTGAGATACGTTAAATTTAAATTGCAGTTTGTTTAGGGTTTAGGTTGCAATTTTTTTTTTTTTTTTTTTTTTTTTTTTGGTTTTACAAGACAGGGTTTCTCTGTTTTGGAGGCTGTCGGTCCAGCCTGGCCTCGAACTCACAGGGATCCGCCTGCCTCTGCCTCCCCAGTGCTGGGATTAAAGGCGTGCACCACCAACGCCCGGCAGGTTGCAATCTTTAAAAGCATTATTGGTGTTGAGCGTAGTAGTACACATCTGTAATCCTGTTACTGCAGAGGCAGAGGGATCTCAAGTTCCAGACCAGCCTGAGATGGTAAGACATCATCTTAAAAACTTATTTAAAAACCAACTAAGGTTTTAAAACCTCCTTTGTAGACCAGGCAGTGCAATCCTTTAATCCCAGCACTTGGGAGGCAGAGGCTGGTGGATCTCTGTAAGTTCAAGGCCAACCTGGTCTATAGCCAGGGTTACACAGAGAAACCCTGTCTCAAGAACAAATAAACAACAAGACTTCCTTTGTAATACTAACAGGCCCCATGTCGTACCAACTGAGTGAAACCAGCATTCTTTAGGTTTTGTCTTTCTTTGAAACAGGAACTCTGAAGCCCGTGCTAGCCTGCAATTCCCTACCTGACTCTGTCTTCTGGAGCTGGGGTGGAGGGTGTCAGCTGACGCTTCAGCTCAGTTGGCTTTTTGTCTGTTTTCCGTGTGCTCCATAGCTTCTGTGATAGGGTCTCTAGTTTTCTACCCTTGCACGTCACTTTCTTTTTCGACATCTTTATTTATTTGTGTTTATGTCCTTGAGTGTGCCTGCTTATCTGTATGTGCACATGTTTATTCGGGAGCCCACAGAGTCCAGAAGAGGAAGTTGGACCCTCTGGAATTAGTTATAAGCCACCCAGTGTGGGTGCTGGGAACCAAACCCCAGTCCTTTTCAAGAGCAGCAAGTGCCCTTAACCACTGAGCCATCTCTCTAGCCCCTTTCACATCATTTTCTTTGTAAAAATGTATTATTTTTGTGTGTATGAGTGTTTCTCCCCATACATGTCTGTGCACCATGTGTATGTCTGGTCCCGAGTAGGACAGAAGAGAGTATTGAGTCCCCAGGAACTGGATTTATAAACAATTGTGAGCTATCCTGGTGCTAGTAGTCAAACTTAGGTCAGGTCTTCTGGAAGAGCAACAGTGCTCTAACCACTGAGCAACCTCTCCAGCTCCTTGCACATACACACTTAAGACATTGAGTGCCATAAAAATATCTGAAGAGTTCCTAGTAACTGACTCGAAGGATTTAATGACTACCAATATTATAATATGCATTATTCTGGAAGCTGTGCTTAACAAAATAAATTCATTGGTGTTTCTAATTAATCATTTTAGGAGAGATAGAAATTGAAAGTATATCTTCTAAATTGACACATTTTAGAGCACAGTTACTTTTTAGTATACGTTGAACCTAATAGATATACCCTAGAGTTCAGTTCAGCCTATTCTGGGAAGAAGTCACCAAAGTCTTTAGCAAATAGCCATAAAATGTACTGAGCAGACTGACATCAAGTGAGCTTGAAACACAGTGGCCAGGCATCTGGTCATTCAAGTAAGTGAAGATGAAAGTGAATGAACATGTATGGGGTTCAGGAATGCAGGATCCTTCTGATGTAGTCCCAGCGACCAACAGATTCTTCCAGCTTGCCCAGTCCACAGTCATTTATTATGCAGCCACAGTATATCCTTAACATTCAAAG